CTTCTGAAATTATTTCACAGTGCTTTAAAATGTCATTAATAATGTTTTTGTTAATCTTCTACTTCTACTAATTGTTTTTTTTTTTTTTTACTTTCATTGTTTCAATGCAATTATGAAACTTTTGGAGAAGTGTATTGCCAAACCCTACCACAATATACACAAAAAGTAATCGAGTAAAAAGTATTTGTTGTGTCTTAAACGTCAATGGATGGGTCTTGAGACTCTTGAGCTCAGTTGCGCTTTGGCCGCGCCGTTCAATTATTGCCAAATCAGTGAAGCCGCTTTGCAGGCGTGGTGAGATTGTATGGCGGTCGCGCCGAGAAAGTGAAGGTTTTGCACAATAGCAGGTGAAGATGGCTCAGTGCAGAACAAATACATAGCAGAGGTCTGGTGCAAAAAGTATCCACTCGAGTGGCTGCGCTCGAGCTAAATAAGCATAAAAGTCGCGGAGGAAATTCTCTCGCCAGTCGGTATGGTTGGCCATTGTTTCACGCCATTGTCCTCCGAAACACCGCAGCTTGCAATTAGCCAGCCCTTTTTGAGCGACTTGAACGATTAAGCAGAACGCGCGCAACGCCGAATTATTTACGCTCCTTTGCTCACTTTAGAGGGTCCAGTGCAATATCCAAACCATAGTTGCTGCAGCTTATTTGCAAAAACCACCAAAAAGAAAATAAACCAAATTCTTGCAACCTCTCTGGCTAAAATTTTAGTAGTTTTGTTTGTTTGTTCTTTTGTTGCAAAGAGTCAATCTAAGTGTTTAATTTTTTTCCCTCTCATTGTACAGACGCGAACCGTGAGGATAATTTTAATTTCGCTATTCAATTTATATAAAGGTTTTTGTTTTTGAACGTGTTAAGACAATGAAATAATTTTCTGCTGAAGAAATTCAAATTTTCTTGAGATTTCTTATTCAATATTTACCAAAAAATTACACAAGAGCGTACAAATGCAAATTATCTTTACATACTCCCAAAATATGGTGCTTGAATTAAAAAAAAAACTTAAAATTAGACGAATAATAATAATAAATTATAATAATTTTAGGGAATTTTAGAAATCCAAAAAGAGTTTTTTTTATTAAGATCCGAGAAAGTAAAAACAAAATCAAAGTTGAATGAATATCAATTTTCAGTATAAACTTATTAGAATTATATATAAAAAAAATCCAAAATACTTTTTTTTCCAGTCTGTCTATATTTTCAATTTAAAGAGTTATTTATGTTGTTGTTTATAATTGAAGCTCTTTTTCGATAAGAAAATTAATAAAAAGTTGCTGCACGTCTGGAAACGCTCTGGACGCAATCACGTGTTTCGCACTTTATTGCGCTCACTGGTTCAGAAGACGAGTCAAGTGTTTGATTATCTCAGAGGTGAAAAAGTTGGTTTCACTCTCGGCAAACAATGACCCCCGCGTGCCTATACAAAGTCTGTTCGTAATCACGCCTCATTGACGATAGAGAAAGCACATTTTTATCCGCGCATCCAGTCGAGCAGGCTTTTTGTTTTGAATTTCGGCAGTGCAGAGAGAAACCGATCAGCCGCAACTTTTACTCTGTGCATTGCGACGATCAGTCAAAACGCTCCAACTCGGAAGTTGTTGCTTCTGATCTCTCACATCGCATGCGGGAAGATGAAAGAAAGCTGCTCTTGGATTCAAATTAGGCCGTGCGATTATTACCTCTTAATAGCCTGAAATGTGTTATTATGTTTTAAATAATGATCAAGGAAGCTGCGCTGGATTTAAAAAGTATTAAGTTATGAGAGGACTGTTATATTGACTTGTTTGGAGAAAAATAAATTGAATTGAATTGAATGATTTTCACCAAAATATAAAACTTTTCATTTTTCACAAATTATAAAACAGCATCTGGATGATAAATTAGAAATTTATTTAAAAAAATATTTTTTTTACCATTTTTTCTCCTAAATGTAAGATTAAAAATAAACAATTTCAATTAACTATTAAAAGTTTGTTTAAGAAGAGAGAAATATGAATTTTTTATGGTAGCTTTCTTGGCAGTGGTCGAGTGCATGAAAATTCTATAAGTATTAAATGAAAACTTTTGAAGATTAATTTTCTTATTGCACAAAATCATCTTTTAGATTAGCTATTAAAAAATTACAAACTGCTTCCTAACTTTGTAAGTTTTATTTCAATTTATTACATTTAATTAAAAAACATCATCTTCAAATGATTGCTATTATATTTTTTTAAACTAAATAAATTATATTTTAATTTTCTTATATAAACTGTTTATTTATAATTATTTATTTCATTTCAAAAAGTTTTTTTTTCAGATTGAAAAATAAATTTTATTTTAATGCATGCAACAGTTATCATAATCCCGCTAATTACAATGCGGTCAGTCACATGTAACATTGTAGGAGTTCATCTGTTATCTGTTAATAATGAAATTTTATTATAATAATACAATATATTGAAACTATTTTCCATAAAATAATCAAATAAAATTTACAAAATACAATTTAAAGTAAAAAAAACATGGATATTAAAATTGGTGTTTTATCATTAGTTTGTGAAACTGCAAATTTTGCCAAAAATACCTCCTGAAAATTCTCAAGTTATAAAAGAAATAATCAAATCTGTTGCTAACAATAAGTTTTTTTAAAAAATATTTGATAATAAAGGCTTTTAAAGGCAACGTCGTGTTCAAGCAAAAGTTATTCACTTTTTTTGTTATTATGAATTTGATGGATAATTTTGCGCTTGGTGAGTTCGCCGCACAGATGCGGTGAGCAGAGATGCAGAAAGAAGCGAGGGTTCATTCTTCTTGTGAATGGCAACGCTCTTGCATAATGAGCTCTAGGCGATGCCCACACAATAATTCGCTACTTAACTTGACCGGTCCCGCCGTTGCGCGATATAGTCTTTAATTATTATGCGTTCTGCTCTGCGGGCCTCGGATTGTGGCTGAGGCGTTTTGTTTGCCCGCTCAAAACTTCCTTTTCGCCGCAATAAAATAATATAACGGAGTCGCCGCGCATTAGTCGCGGCCGCAAACTTAATTTGCGTTTTTGTAAAGTGCATTGTTGACGGCCAGTTTTTAATTGGAGGCGCAAATGATCGCCGAATTTAATTGCTGCGCATTTACGAATCGTTTCGCTTGTTTTGTACTGAGGAGAAATGAACTTTACCCATGACTGGTCTGCAAGAATTATAACTGCAAAAGTGCAAATGCGAGGTGGATGACACCGTAATTATGAAAATTGTTATTCAATTTTGAACGTGAAACGGTTATAACTTAAAAAATGAAAAGCAAAATTGTACAAAAAAATTCATAAGTACAGAGGCAATAAAGTTTCTTCAATTAAATTATTTCATTACGAAATTTGATTTATATCTATAGAGACATACTTCGTGTAAGGCAATGAAACTTCAAAAGCGAAAAACGCATTTTCACTCCTCGGCGTTGTGTACTTTTGTCGATTAGTAAACAGGGCGCTCGCACAGTGTCGATGAAAATCTTTGATAAATGACTTTCAGTTTCCCAAGAAGTGCATGACCAAAGTCGGACCTTGAGCAAAACGCCAGAGGCATGCAAATAATAATTAGCAGATAATTGATCTGAAAGGATGTGTGAACGAACACGCAAGCATTCTCAAGTCAGTCAGTTTTACTTGCGCAACTTTTTGCATGTGATCGAATGCATTATTTGAGCTTTAATACAATAATTGAAGTTTATAGGAAACAAAAATACATTTAAAGTTAATGCTAGTCAGTCTTCGAAAGCCGTGAAATTTAATATCTGCAGAGAGTGTAAAAGCTTTGATTCAACTTTAATCTTTATTTATATTTTATTTTCATATTAAGACAAAAATCTGCAAATTCTAATGGTCAATAAAAAGGGCCTTCTGGTTTCGTAAAATTTGATTTTCTCCGCCAGCGATGCGCAAAATCAAACCTTAAAAACTTGACTCCAAAAGAGAAACATTGTGAACCGAATTGCGAGTTTTTGACTCGCGAAACATTTAATTATCTACGCACTCTTAGTAATACTGAATCACCACACTAACCTGCGCGATGCTCTACTTCGAATCTTACATTTATTTATTGCAAAGGCAGCCTGAATAATTCCAAGACAAAGATTTGAAGATGAGGACTATCTTTATTGTCTAAAATTCATATTTTTTCAGAAGAATTTTTAAATCCTTCAATTTAACTTTATTTAATGCAAAATGAATAAAACTAACATGCTAAGACATGTATTATCTCAGCTGACGACAATATTTTTTTTCTATAAGGGCTATTTTACTTAAAATTTATTTCTTTAATCATTTGACAGTATTGTTGCTAGTTGAACCTTCAGATGTGCACAAAGAAAGTTCTTAAAAATTTATTAATACGCAGTTAAGATAATATATATTGAGGTTTGACACGTTTCTGTTGAGTGAAATGGAAAAAAATTGTATTTAAATCTTCCTATGGTCTGGTCTAATAAAATAAATAAATTTTTTTCAAGAAGTCAATGACACTCTCAGCACGCTTTGAAAAATTGAGCAATTTTCAAACTGCATGTATCTAATCTTTCACAACAAAAATTTTGTCAACGTACCTTAGATAAATATTAACTCAGTGACTCCATTTCACTCGAGCGATTTCCAAGTGGAAATAAGCGTTCTTATGTGATAACAGCAGCAATTTCAGTAATTGCCTTTTCTCCTGATAAAAAACAGCTGGAAATGTAGGTTAAAGGCAGTGGTGATTGCCTTCAAAAATTTATTTCCAAACAATAGAAAATACTGCTAATTGAGCACAATATTAATTGCGCTAATTGCAATCATTCCGAGCAAGATTTCATTTGAAAATCATTATAACCATTCACAGGTGTGAAATTGGTTGGTCCAGCCAGAGGAGTCTGCGGGGTCGCGAGTGCCGAACAGATGACGCAAGAGCGGCGAGTGGCCCTGCGAAGGTCGTCCAGCGCCCTGAGCGATCGCCAAAGTATCAGTGGGTAGGGAGCAGGTCACGTGGTGCAGGTGCCTGCAGAGGCGACAAAGGCGCAGACCTTTCGATTTAGCAGTTCTGTCTGGGTGTCTGAGGTGCGCGCACAGTGAAAGTTTTCTACCTGCCGAGAAACACTCCAAAAAGCGTGGGTTTTCGTCGCACACCGGCTTGTTCATTTTCAGGTATTTATAATTATGGTGTTTATTTAATATGATTAATTAAATTTACAAAATTAAATATTTTTGTATAATTATCTACTGGAGAACTGTTGAGGAGAATCCGTTTTTCACTAAAGGAAAAAAACCGGTAATCTTTATGTTCAAGAACTTAATTATCATTTTTTTTTATCATTAATAATGGTTCCGACTGAATTTTAATTAAAACAAAGTAATGACAATTGAGTTGGTTGTCGAATTGAAAGTGCACAAAGAGACTTTCAAGGATTGCCAATCAAACCTCTCTCACAGGATCGGTCTCACATCTGCCACGCTTGATTTCAATGCATGGCATGGGTATCTCGTAACGCCACGCGCGAGAAAAAGGTCCCAGCGCGATTTAATTAATGCGTATTTAATTTCTGTGTCTTAATACAATTGAAGTTTCTATTCTCATAGATAGAGGTAGGAAGGCAATTTTTGAGCAAGTAAAATAAAAATGGTACGAAGGTGACACTATAACTGATAAGAGTTTTTGCTGGCGTAGATGTTTCTTGTTTTCTCTGCTGACACACAAAGTAATGCAAAAGCAAACAGTTCTTTTCGCGATAGTCCTTTGTCACTTTCTTTCTCTAATTCCTGTGTTTTTGTTGCGTCAACACGGCTTATTGTTGTCTAGCTGGATTAAAATTTGGCGGTTGTTCAAGAAACATGAACAAACGTTTATTGAGTTATCAAAGGTGGATTACTATCTGTATTAATCTATCAAGCTAGAAAAAAACTTATCTTTATTTCACCACAGGATCAAAAACTTTGACCTGACGGCAAAGATATTAAATACAGAAAATGGATTTATGAAAATAAAACTGATTCAAATTCATTCATGCCTAGGCATATATGCGTAAATTAAAGAAACTCTTTATAGAGGCAAGATTTTTTAAATATCTTGTTCATTTTTATTTTGCATACAAATTACAAATTTTGCACAAAAAAAAATTTATTCTAATGAACTTCAATTGATTGCTAAAAATGAAGGTCATAATTTGCTAAATAACAGGATTTTTTGTTTTAATTATTTATTTTTTGAAATGATTTCAGTCGGGAAAAGTTGAGCAGTTTTCAAGTGATTTTTGAGATTAATGTTACTTCTAAAAAAAAGCAAATATTAGGTTATTTTGGGACATATAGCAACGGTTTTTAAGATTGGAGGTGTTTCAAGAAAACAGGCATTAAAAAATTAATTTTTACACAGTAAAAAGAAGTAGAAGTGGATTTGATATCCTCAAAGTAATTTTGAAGTTTTGAATTTCTTTTAAACAATCTTTATTACATTACAATTCCTTATCGTTTTATTTATAATTGGTAAATTGGAAGGTATATTTTACATTTTCCTTAGTTCAAAATATAAAAAAAAAAAATTTTATTTAAATTATTTGTATTTTTCCTGTCAAGTCTTTTCCATTTGTACAGAATAGTTAATAGTTCAAATAATTTTTGACTTAAATATCAACCATGAAAAGCAGCTTTCATTGTTAGTTGATTAATAATGATTTACCGATAGAGCTAAAAAATATTTCAGAATGTTCTTTTAAAAAGAAGTCTAAAATTTGAAATCATTCTTGCTACAAATCCTACGAATTATTTAAGAATATATGTGCAATTTTGGTGATAAATATGTGATTTTTAGCTATTATTCTTATATTATGTTTTGAATTTGTATTTGTGTAAAAATTATGTAACTGCACTATCGTTTCCACACTAAATTGACCTTTTCTAAACCAAAAACTAAAAATTATTGAATGGTAATAACAGAGATGTTGTTGTGAATTGCAGGCGCGGAGAGTTAAACTAGCGAAGATGAGCAGCTCGGCGGCTCCCACCATCCGAACGGAGGCGAGTGAGGCCCGGGGCTACGTCGTCAGCATCGCCGTGAACTGCAGCGGCAAAGAGAGAGGGGCATCCTCGGTGGTGCACGTCGCCGATGTGGGTCGCTCTTCCGTGGTCAGCAGTCTGCAGGCAGCCATGGTCCGGCCCGGAGAGTTCTTCCTCTTCGAACAGCCGCTCAGCTCGCCGACGGACAGCGGCACCGGCAGCGACTTTGATGGCTCGACGCCTCAGGCCAAGCGGCGCCACGTGCGCGGCGCCGCCGGCGACGCCGACGAAGACGACGACGTCATCAGCTGCGACTCGCTCAACTCGAGCGAACTGTCCGAACTCTCGGACACGCTCGACTCGATCAAGCTGCTCAAGATCGCGACGCCGCCGCCCCCGGTGGTGCAGGTGGCGCCGTACGGCGCCGCCCCCGGCCGCCCCAAAAGGATCATCGAGGAGGAAGCGGGCTACGACTTCCACATCAACGAGCACGACGAGCGCAGCGCGGCCAAGTTCGAGGAGGACACGTTCGCCGGCGTGCGCGACGTGCTGAGCGACCGCGCCGCCATCCGCAGCGCCAAAGGCACCGTCCGCGGCGTCAAGAACAGGGTTCGCGCCGGCATCGCCACATTTCTCCAGCTCGAGGACAACAAAGTAAGTCGGAAATTTTATTAAAAATACGTTTTTTTTCTGTTTGACATTGAAAGATTTTGGATATTTTTTGTCCTTTTGTTATTATTAACATAGAGCTTGTTGGGATTCAATTGAAAAATGACACTTTTTTCTAGATTTACCTCGCCTTCATTCCCATTAAAAAAATTAAATCATAGTTTAACGCAGTTTAGATTGATTTTTTTACAAACGCTCTTGGGAATCTCTCCTTTTGGATAGTTGCTTTTAATATATTATATAATAGTTGTAATGATAGGGATTGCTGAAATTTCTTAGATTGGTTAGTTAAAAAAAAAAAAAAAAAATTGTTATTTCTTTTTAAAAACTTAAAGTATATATTTTATTTTTAAAAATCACATTATCATTAATATCTTGGTTATTTATTTGTTCTAAATTATTTAAATAAAAATTTAATTAATTTTTATTATTTAACAAAATTTTATTAAAATATATTGTAATTGTTAAGACATTTTTCTATTAAATTTATTTTTTTTAAATGCTCATCGATATTAATAAATTTATAAAATTTACATCCACTAGTAAATTATTACTACTTAAATCTATGTCTGCAGATAATTTCCTCGCGTGTTTTCTTGGTCTCTGCTAGCTTCATTCTGCCTCTAATATTGATTTAATCATGCCATTAATTTTATTTTATCATAACAACATTATTCAGTAATATCTCAAACATATTTAGAACAAGTTGATAATTCAAGATTAATTAATATAATTATTAATAATAATTGATCATAAATTGGATTTTAACATGAAATTTTTTGTTCTTTCCTATCTATCCAATGATTTCAATATGATTCCTAGACACAGAAATTAAATTTAACAGCTTTTTTTTCATTTTACTTTTTCCAGAAATGATAAAACTCTTCCAATATATATTTTTGGTCCGAAATTTTAAACATTTTTATTCCGTAGTGAAATTCTTTATTTTGTTCCGTACTTTCTAATATTATTTGTTGTATTTTATTGAATTTCAATTACTAAGTCCACCCACTACAAAATTTTTTACTCCCAATATGTCCCTTATTAACGCTTTCTTTTTTTACAAGTTTACTTTCATTCATTTTTTAACGTATAAACACGCATATAAATATTTGGAGCAAAAGCATAATGAGTATGCTGGTCGGAATAGTTTCACTCGCGATTATTCATTCAATGCACACCTGTGAAAAGGTCGGTGCCACATCCGCGGCAGAATGCCCTGTCGTCAGCAGGCACAAATTTCCCTTCCTCGACCAACTTATTCGAGAAGAGCTTTTACGGGAAAAGCTTTGTTTATTTTTGAAATCGATACACCGCTATACTTTGGATTATTTTTCGTTTTTACTACGCACGCATTGCGTAAAACTCTGCGCTTATTTGGTTTAGCAGTAAAGTTTCTCTCCAGCACGAGAGGAAATAAAACTGTCGATGACGAGTTTTTTTTTCGGTTGAGACAATATAAAGCACGGAAGGATGTGCTGCAGGTTTATGATGTACCTCCGCACCAGATAAGAGTTCCAAAATGAGTATATATATCAGTTTTACTCTCAGTCGTAAAGGAAAAATTTAAAATTTTGTTACCACCGTAAAAAAAATTTAAAAGAGAAATAAGAATGCATATTTATTGTTAAAGAAACTGACGCTGTGTTAATAATCAATTTAATCATTTATTTATTCCAATAAAGGAAAATTATTCTCACATTTCCTCCTTTCATTCGAGTTCTTGTCAAACCTAGCATTGAACGGATCATGATATAATTCATAGTGGTTTTTCTTGAGTTGCATTGCTCTTTTATCTATGCGCTACGATTAATGGTGCGTGACTGCTCATGTTCTGGTATTTATTTGAAATACTAAAATAACTTCTAAAATTAAGCGGCATTTTTTTTTTTTACGAAACGAATGGAAAATTCCCTTCATCTATCTGTATCTTCATTCTCTAATCTAATTCGCACCTGTTTGTGGGAATCACGCTGGGAATGGGAAAAAAATTGGTAAAAGTCTCATCAATTCAGGGTCCTCTATCATTATTATACATTCACACCGAAAATATCATTATGCTGCTGGTGCGAGTATCAAAATAATTTTTTCCGCGCCACGGCTCGTCTCTCTTTAATTTGATTTCTCATTCCGAGTGCGCGGTGATTAGAATGGCTGTGCTGCGGTCCAAGTAGCGGTTCGTGACGTCACGCCGCTATATAAATTTTTACTGCCCGTGCCTTGCACTCTCGGTGGGTATATAGAAGCGGCTGCAATTAGATCGCTCACAATAATATCACTTGGAAATTAATTTCGATTTTCGGCCTTCACCGTTACTTCCATGTTTGGACGATTTCGCCCAAAATCGTTCGCCATAGCAAAAATCCCTGGCCGCGCTCGCACAGGAATTGTTCCGTACCGTTATTAGTTGATGGTGCCGGCGGCGCGAGAGAATCCTCTGGAATGCGTTAATTATTGGATTCAAACTGACAAAGTGACGCGTAGAATTTCGAAACGGAAATCAAATATAGGATTAATAGAGGAAAATATTAAAACGCACCTGCTGGATTACAGATTTCCTAAAAAGATTTTTGGTAGTAGCACAATTATGTAAATCGACAGTTGAAAAAGGTGTGAAATTTTGTGCTTGATTTTTTTTTTAAATGTCCATGATATAGCAAAATATTTCAATTCCTTCGATTCCATGCGAGGAAAATTAACTTACGGATTTTTTCATTCTAAATTTGCTTTCAATAAAATAGTTTTCCTAAGAAGCTACTTGTGATTTTTCAGAAAAGTGATATCAAATCAAAGGCTCAATACATATGTTATTAGCTATCAGATAATATAATATTTAATCTAAATAAATGTCTTTACTCCGGTCTTATCATTCTCATTTTAAACAATTATCAATTTTACTTAATAATTTTGACATTTGTAATAGAAAATACCAGTCTTTATTTTTTTCATCAACATAATTATTTGAAAACACTTTTTACTATATATTACTTTTATAATAATTAATATATAGAGCTTAAAATATACTTTTTATTAAAACTTTGTATTTTTTATTAATTTTATTCTAAAATTTTTGAAATTTATTTTTATCATTAAATTCTTTATTTTAATGTCTATTTATGAACCCATCTAATATAAACCATTTAATTATATATCCTTACAAAATTTGTATTCAAAATAAAAATAAATTTTAGAGGATCTTGATTAGTATCAAACATGGATGAAATAACGTTTCTTTGTTTCAGTTCTAGGCGGTATTTTTCCAATTCATTAGTTACAACTGTTGTCGTTTGATTATTTTATCATTAAACATGATACAGATATTATTGCGATGAAAAAATATGAATGTAAATTCACAATAATTCTTCAGAATTGAAATTTTTAATCCATCTTTTTGTCCAATGAAAGACATTCAATACGATTTCTAAACATTAACCAATTTTTATTTGACAACCCAGAATAAAGCATTTATTAACAATCAATTTTGAAAATCTATATCAAATGCTACTAAAAATATCCACGGTTTTTGAACTTCCCGCAGTTTGAATAATCTTGAATCATGATAGGGCCGGTGAAACGTTATTTGTGTTACTCTTAAACTTGACGCATAATATTGGATAATAACGCAGCATATTATGGCAAAGAGAAAAGTGAACGTTAAGTAGTGCGTTACAATTGAATGTTGACTGAACTGATCGAATAGTTTAGATCGAGTTCTTGCATTTTGTAAACAGCATATCATGTCCGGATAATGTACTTTCTAAAAAAGTCGCTCTGAAAGGTCACGTTACATTATCATTAATAGCGACAACTTATGGCAAGCAAGAAAATGAGATCACGTCTCAATATGTGCATAAATTGGAATACAATCAACAAACAATGCTTTATTTCTCTGTTTTAATTTTTTATCAATTTCATTTTAATTCCAGTCCAAACTATATCATTGAAAAGGTCAAAGCTCCAAGCTCACGACGTTATAACACAGCAATTAAAAGTGCAATTTTGCGTGCGAATAGTCATGATGAAAAGCGAGTGTGAGAGTCGCGCATTCCCACATGATGGAGAAGCGGCCAGAAAATTCCCGGCGCAAAACACTTTTTTATCAACGCCGAGAGATGCTAATCCGAGCTGCTCTTTGTGCGAGCCAAGACAAAGGCCGGCATCATTTTGCGGTCGTTTATCTGCAATTTTAATTACAATCCTCCAGAAGAGAGCATCACCCCTTTTGGGAAAAATTCTCCGCACTCGAAACTTTAATCCTTTGCCCTTGAAATCTGCTCATACTTTCAGAAACGAAGAAATTCCATAGAGCTCTCAATCCCGAAACGACCGAGATGCTGCCGTTTTCTCTTGGGCACTACTTGCATCTTGTAAAAGTAATGACCGCGTTTACTACTTAACTAGCGACGGTTAAATTATTATCAGCCTGGTGTGTATCCTCGATTAACAAGGTCACAACACTAAACGTTCGATTCAATAATTTTCCTTTGGCACGAATAATACTTAAGACGTAGCTCAAGATCGATTTTAATTAAATGAAATTTTACAAGCATTTTACCAATTCATGATGTTTTAATTCCTCTCTTGTTAGTTTTTTTTAGTTGCTTATTTTGTTCCACCGATAAAACATTTTGGCTGCCAAACATTATCCATGAGCTGTGAATAGAAAAAATTAGTTCATGAATTAATTTTTATTGCATTCGAACAAAAAGTTGCAGTTTTGAAAGTGAAATTTTATTTTGATATTAATTTATTCTTGTTAAATCTTCATTTCATTGACAGACAAAAATTGATTTCAAATTGTGTGGCACTTCTTCACTTTGCAACATATTTTACGAATGTCGAATCAGAAATGCTTACATTTTGCATTTAAATGAAAAATCCTATTGTGGAAAAGCCAACTTTAAAATAAAACAAGATTAAGGTTGAACATTTAAATTTGAACAAAAGACGGAGCGCAAATGAGAGGCAAGAAAAATTGCTATGCG